GGGTGTTTGTGGTGGTGGCGGGGGCCCCTGGCCTGTGGCTGCTGCCACTGCCCCAGAACACTGTGCTTGAGGTGGATGACCACACCGCAGTGGCACTGAGGGCTATGAAGGTGCCCATCAGCATGGGGAGGTACCAGGGACACAGCGTGTCACTCTGGGACCTGCTACACTCTGAGTATGTTGGAGCTGAGAAGCGGCGAGAGCTGGTGGCACTTTGTTGTTCTGGGCGGGCTGCTGCCCTGCGGCAGGTCATCAGTATGGTCACCACCCTGGTGGAGGCTGCAGAGAAGGAGCCCCCACAGGCCACCTTCAAAGGGCTCCGGAAGCAGGTTTCAGCTGGGGACTTGTTTAGGTCCCAGCTGATCAACAAGCAGACACTGGATGAACTCAATCAGGGGAAGAGGACGGTCCAGGAAGTGACAGAGATGGACAGTGTGAGGAGGTCCCTGGAAGGAGGCAACTTCATCGCAGGGGTCTTTATTCGGGGTACAAGAGAGAAGATGAGTGTCCCAGAGGCCTTAAGAAGGCACATTCTGAGGCCAGGCACAGCCCTGGTGCTGCTGGAGGCACAGGCAGCCACCGGTTTCATCATTGACCCTGTGGAGAACCGGAAGCTAACAGTAGAGCAAGCCTTCCAAGCAGGGATGTTTGGCAAGGAAACCTATATGAAGCTGTTATCAGCCGAGCGTGCTGTTACCGGCTACACGGACCCCTACACCGGGGAGCAGATCTCCCTCTTCCAGGCCATGCAGAGGGACCTCATCGTCAGGGACCATGGCATCCGCCTTCTGGAGGCCCAGATTGCCACGGGTGGTATCATCGACCCTGTTCACAGCCACCGTGTGCCTGTGGACGTGGCTTACCAACGTGGCTACTTCAATGAGGAGATGAACCGCATCTTGGCTGACCCAAGTGATGACACCAAGGGCTTTTTTGACCCCAATACGCACGAGAACCTCACCTACCTTCAGCTGCTGGAGCGCTGTGTGGAAGACCCTGAGACTGGCCTGTACATGTTGGAAATTGTAAAGAAGGGAGAGACCTACACGCATATTGATGAGACCACAAGGCAAGCTCTGAGATCCAGAACTATGAAAATGTACATAGGGAAGTTTGCAGGTCAGACAGTGTCTGTGTGGGACCTGCTGTCTTCTCAGTACTTTACAGAAGGAAGGAAAAGAAAGCTTTTGCAGGAGTACAGAGCCCAGAACATAAGCCTAGAGAAACTGCTGGAGGTTATCACCTCCACCGTGGAAGAAACAGAGAAGCAAAACCAAATATTCAAGGTGGCAGGAATCCATGGTGATGTGACTGCTGCAGAACTGTTCAACTCTGGGGTCCTTGATAAGAAGACCCTGGATATGCTTCACAGCGGGGAGAGAGGGTGCCAGGATCTCCGCCAGTTGGGAGATGTAAACATCTACCTGGAAGGCAGCAGTTGCATTGCTGGGGTGACTGCACCACTCACCCAGGAGGTAATGAGCTTCTATGAGGCCAGCAAGGAAGAACTCATCCCAGCAGGGTTTGCAGCTCAGTTGCTGGAGGCACAGGCTGCTACTGGGTACCTAATGGACCCCCATACCCACCGGAGACTGTGTGTGGATGAGGCCATAGCAGCTGGCCTGGTTGGTGAAGACCTGGGAGAAAGGCTTAGGAATGCAGAGAAGGCAGCGAAGGGGTACAAAGACCCAGCCACAGGGGAGACCATCCCATTGTTCCAGGCCATGGAGAAGAAGTTAGTTAGGAAAGAGGAGGCACTGAGGTTGCTGGAGGTACAGGTGGCCACAGGTGGAGTCATTGACCCACTACACCACCACCGAGTTCCCATAGAAACGGCCTGCAGGCGTGGCTGTCTTAATGATGACACCGTTGTACTCATTGCTGATCAGAAGCACATGAGGAAAAGGTTTGTGGATCCCAACACACAAGAGAAGGTCACATACCAGGAGCTGCAGGACAGGTGCCAGAGGGAGAAGTCAGGCTGGGCTCTGTTCCCAGTGGTCAAGGACAAAAAGGACATGGAGTATGTTGATGAGGCCACCAAGAGGGCTCTGGAGGCAGAGCAGGTAGAAGTGACAGTGGGGAGGTACCGAGGCCAGAGGAGATCCGTGTGGGAGCTGCTGAACTCAGAGTATGTCTCAGAGGAGAAAAAGATTGAATTGGTTAGGATATACAAGGCTGACACAGCGAGGGCTCTGCAAAGAGTGGTCAAAGTTATTCAAGAAATGATTGAAGATGAGGAGCGAAAAAGCAGACAACTATGGTTCCGAGGACTAAGAACACAGGTCACAGCTGAGGAATTAGTCAGCTCAGCCATCATCACAAGACAGACACTGAAGGAACTGGAAGAAGGGAGAACCACAGTAGAGGAGATTGAAAGATACGAAGATGTAAAAAGATATCTCAAGGGCACAGGATGCATTGCGGGTGTCCTGGTGCCGGTTCAGGGAGAGCCTGGCCGGCAGGAGAAGATGAGCA